TGTTTGTGCATGAGCAGATTTAACACCTTCTGTGAATTGATGACTACAAGCAGCACTAACTAATTTCTTGTTCACCAGTTATACCAATTAAAGAACAAATAAGCACTGTCACCGTCATTAAAATACAACACAGAAAAATGGGGAAAAAAAAAATACATGCGTAAACAATCTCTGAAAAGTCATTTTGATCATCTTAAAGAAACACAGAGGCATAATATAATGAGCATGAAACATACTAGGTCACTAGTCACCTGTTAGCATCATAACAGCACTTGGCTTTCTGTAACCTTCAATCTGTAATTCAAACCCCCTCAAAGGCGTAGATTCTTTTTATTGCTAATCTCACGTTCTCGCACTCCTAAGGCCAAAATCGTAGGGTTAACAATGAAATTACTCTTTATGCCAACTTTTTAAGACAATACGCGTTTATTCACGAAAATGAGAATTGTTGGGAATCCAGTGAGCATTCAAAGTGAATTTCAAATTTAAGGCCAAAATGGCTTAACTAGAACCATTATCCAAGTCAGCTATGCTTCCACTTTGGCTACTTTGGCCTTAAATCTGAATTTCACTTTGAATCCACTAAGAATTCCTGGAAATTCTCACTTTATTGAATAAACCTGAATAGTTTTCTGACTTCTGCAGCACTACCTGCAGAAATATTTTGTAATTTAGGACTATGGTCACTTTGATAATTGATTGGTTTGATGCATAATTGTAATATATGTCATATATTGCATATTGTCATAGCTTCTTTAAATAACAAACCTTCCAAGAAATCCTACGTATTTGACACATTAAAAGCTATACAATAGGTCTGCCATCTGGGCTTTGAATTTGAAAATATAAATATCTATCTATACATTTTTCAATTACAATATTGTTTTATTCAAATTACTTGTTATCCCCTTAGTGACTGAGGCAATTGTCGAAGTTCCAAAACAAAACCTAGAATTTGAGCCTTATATCTGTTCAACCATAATTTACCTCTTTCATACTAAGTGAACCCAGACTAATTATTTGTCATTTTGTTCAGGAGAAATAGGGCTTACATGCCACAAATATTTATGGAACATATGGAACATTATTTAATATGAATTAAATCTAAAATACATTTAATGACAAAAATTTTTAGCTAGCTCTGCCTAGGAAAAAAAAAAAAAGGAAACAGTGTTATTTTCCAAGTTCTCCATGGCATTTTAACTGTGGACAGGGCCGGCGCGTCCATAAGGCGGCGTGCGGCAGTGCTGTGATCAGACGCGGCGAGGGAGCTCTAATCTCCACCCTCTGCTCCCTCGCGTGCTGTCTCCTGATGCCGCGGGAGCCGGAATATGACGTCATATACCGGCTCCCGTGGTATCAGAAGGCAACCCGCGAGGGAGCAGAGGGTGGAGATTAGAGCTCCCTCGCCGCGTCTGATCACAGCACTGCCGCACACCGCCCAGCAGCCCCACTGGACCCCGGGGAATGATTCATCATCCACACCAGCTCTCCAGGTAGGGAGGCTGGGTGGAAAATGTTTATTTATTAAAATAATTAGTGAGTGTGTGTATGCGTGTCTGTGTGTGAGTGACTGTCTGTGATTGAGTGTGTGTCTGTCTGTCTGTGAGTGTATGTGTGTGTATGTGAGCGATTGTATGAGTGTGTGTGTGTGTGTGTGTCTGTGAGTGCTTGTATGAGTACTGCATGTGAGTGTATGAGTGTGGCAGTATATGTGTGTCTGTCAGTGTGTATGTGTGAGTGTCTGTCAAATCAGTGAGAGTATCTTTGTCATTGAGTCTGTGTGTAAGTATCAGTGTGTCTGTCAATGAATGAGTGTGTGTCAGATCAGTGAGTCTGTGTGTTTGTCATTGAGTGTGTGTGACTGTCAGTGTGTATACACCACTGAGTGTAGCGTGGCGGAGCGCAGTACAGGAGCTTCTGTTTCCTGTACCCGGCCAGACTGACCGGAGGTGCTCACTGAGAGAGCACTCCCTGTCAGTCTGGCCAGGTACAGGAAACAGAAGCTCCTGTACTGCGCTCCGCCACGCTACACTCAGTGGTGTATACACACTGACAGTCACACACACTCAATGACAAACACACAGACTGGTGTGGAAAGATACGTCTTCGCCTATGTACCCAAAAATCCTTGCACCGGCCCTGACTGTGGATGTCAGAATACTGTTAGCTTTTACTTCAATAAACACATATTTGCATGCTCTGTTTTCCCCTATGTACAGGTTTCATGGTGTTTTAAAAAGCTGTACCCTGTTTTACCAATTGCCAATTTCAGTTTTTAAACAGTGAAATTTGCCATATTGACATACAATTTGCAAAATTAGACAACCCAGGGTCTTCCAAATAGGTTTTGTGCAGTCTTTTTTAGTAGCTACTTAGTCATAAACTCTGGCCAAAGTTAGTGTTCATATTATTTTTTTGCACTTTTTACACAAAAACTGATATAATTGGCACTATACATTTTACTGCTTTAAAACACTCATATTTGTATTCAGCAATGTCTCACGAGTACAACAATGTACAGGTTTTCTGGGGTTTTGGAAAGTTACCAGGTTAAATATAGGGCTTGCAAATTAAATTCTCTGTTTGGGTTGTCAGGCATGTCCCCCAATATATAATAATAAAAAAATATTTTAAATGTATTTTGTGTATTATTTATGTGTAATTAGATTAATTTATTATTTATATGTTGGGGATTCTGCCTGACATACTCAGGCATCAAATGTAGGAAAAATAAATATCCAGGCACACCTGAGGTTTCTTCTAAAAGGCAGTCTTTTTTATTTGAAACAAGGAAGTGGAGACAACGTTTCAGCTCCTCTCTGAGCCTTTATCAAGACAATAGCTGATCCAAATCATGAGAATGCGGAATGGCTGCATGGGGAATGGCTTGGTTGTCAGGTAGTCCACCCAATCTGATCCACTGAGGATGGTGAGTATTTGGGTTGCAGGGAGGGTCCAATTGTTACAGTGTGCTATGCTGCCCTAATGGCGTTAAAGTCCTCCTTTTGTAGGTTGGTATAGCATGGCCTAACATTGGGAAGCGGTTTATATGTAAGACTAAACCTTTAGTAGCATACAACCTATATGTGATGCTGTGAGCCCAACCCAAACACAATGTAATAAATTAAAGAAGTTCAAGTATGTTGCGATGAATTTTTGTCTTTTTTGTTGTTGAGCACTTGCACAGTCCCACTCTGTATTGCAAACTATTCTCTCTTGGGGTACTAACAATATGTGCAGCATGAGTTTTGGCTTTGCACCGTTGTAGACAAAATCAGCTGCATTTTATGTACCACAATATATCTTTTTCATCCTTTCTTTACCTTTAACTGATTACTTTTAGCAAGCCAACAAGAGACAACCATAGCTCCAGGCCTGCTGTGGACATGGAGCTGCTATGGTAGGGGAGAGTGAGCCAGTGCTTATGGAAAGGGAAAGTAATAATGTGGAGAAAAGAAAAGATATTGGTAATGTGGAAACTGTACTGGAAAAAGGATTGTAGGAATATTGGTGGGAGGAGAAGGCTTTGGGGACAAAAAATAACTTGATGATTTGAACAAAGCTCTATTTATTTATTTGTATTAGATGTTCTCCTTATGCTTTTAACACTGGGCCCTCTTTGTGAATAAGAATAATTTTAGAAAAGCTACCAACATATCCTGATCCACCTCTGGTGAAGTCACCAAAACTGGTGACTTGTGTCCAATCAGATGCTTTTCATAGATACTTCTTGAGGAGACATAGTTCTTGTGCAGCAATCACCATCATCCCTTAGTCCAGTGCTTGTCTATCTCAGAGAAGCATTGGATACACACAGTTTTCAGTGTCAGCATACCTTGCCTGCTGTTGCCAAAGCGATTTAATAATTGAATTTACTTTAGTTTAAAGTCTCTATTGGCGGTCTGTCTGATAGTATGCATGGAAAGTGCAATAAAAAACTTTTATATGGAAAGGTAAACATTGCTATTTCTCAGAAAAAGCACAGTTTCTAACAGCACCCTGAAGGGACCGCATCTCTGACCCAAATCACTATATTAAGAAGTGAGTTTGGTGTTTAGACTATCAGTCCCTTTGACATGCATTGTCACGTATGCATTGCATTTACACATAGACAAAATTATTAAAGGACCACTATAGTGCCAGGAAAACATACTCATTTTCCTGGCACTATAGTGCCCTGAGGGTGCCCCCACCCTTAGGGTCCCCCTCCCGCCCGTCTCTGGGGAGAGGAAGGGGTTAAAACGTACCTTTTTTCCAGCGCCGTGCGGGGAGCTCTCCTCCTCCTCTCCGCATTTACAATACTTTCCTATGGACGCTTGCGTCTTCTCACTGTGATTTTCTCAGTGAGAATCACGCAAGCGCCTCTAGCAACTGTCAATGAGACAGCCACTAGAGGATTTGGAGGCTGGATTAACCCTAGTATAAACATGGCAGTTTCTCTGAAACTGCTATGTTTATAAAAAAAAAAGGGTTAATCCTAGAGGGACCTGGCACCGAGACCACTTCATTAAGCTGTAGTGGCCTGGGTGCCTAGAATGGTCCTTTAAGCAAGACGATTTATAGAATTATAGATTTATAATTAAGTCCTCTTATTTTTAAAGGATTTTCATTTTAATCTGTCAACAGTCAATAGACCTATAATTAAGCAGCAAGAACAAACCTTGTCCTATATGTACATTGCAAACATTATATAAATGTCTATTGCCTCATCCTAGGGTCACTGTCTGGTGCATATTTACACAAAAGTGATAAGAGATTTCCATTTGTTATCTTTCCAGAAAGTCTCATTGCACATCAGTAGTTCAATGCCATATTTACCTACATTTAAATAGTGGCAAGTGTCAGGAGACGCACAGTTTTATGTTCCCATCATTATTTGTTTTCGTCTGGCCTGAAAATGAATCTGTACCCATGAATAATGTAAATGAGCATTACAATGAACAAACCTACCATGTTCACTTTGTGTAATGCCTACCTCGGCAGAAACCTGACCTACACACAAAAGCAGCAGGAAAAAAAAACCCTCATGCACGCTGGCTGGTTCTTTTCGTCTTTTGAACAGTGTTAAACATTACTAAGCGGATGTCAGTGGGGAATCTCAGATGTACTTACTGAATGACGAATACTGTATTAGTTAGTTTGTTCTTTATACAGGAACTGTACCTGAGCAATCGAAACCATCATTTTAACACGATTGCATTTAACGAACCTCGGTCGAGAAACACATCTCTAACCGCCACTTTGAAGATCTTAGTTTTATCTCTAATAATGGATAAAAAAACTGTGATAATTGCAATTTTATTCTCATTTATGAAGAAAAAACCCACAACAGATGGTTGAGAAGGCTGGTGATAGCCAGCGATTAACAACATGCTGGAATTTTGCTGATGGTGATAATTTATGTCCATTGTTGGCAATTCTCCTTAATTGTAACTCCAGCCTACTAAGAAAAAGATGTTGAAGATTTGATTGATAGTTTGCTATTAAGGATAAAATTGGAGAAATATTTACTCTTATGCCATCAAAACCGCAATGCACAGACATTGTTAAAAAAACAAAAACAATGCAACATACTTTACAGATTGTACTTGTAAAGCAATGTGTGTCAAGGAAGCAAATGCATTTGAGGACAGAAAACATTCATAATAATGATTAATATTTTCCTTCACAAACAGTAAATTAGCCTTCTAACCCCAGAAACTATTATTCACCAACAAAAATGAGCCTGTTAAAAGTGCTACCCTACAATGGCGCAGAACCCTCCAAGCGACCACAAACATACTGCGAGAAGCAGGCATACCTTACCGCTGGACAACACTGCAGTTCCTCTCAGTCACACATAATGGAACTGTACTGAGGATCAAATCCCCTCAAGAGGCTCCAGTCTTCCTTGGTGCTCTGGGTGTTGCCCCACCACTGCCGGATAACTAGAGACAGTCCACCACCCCAGCTTGAAGTCCCAACACTGTCGAGCCGGGACTCAGGAACGGGAACCTGAACGCAATATCAATTGCTGGCAAACCCCTATCTGGCACAGATATTTACTTTCTCTTAATGTTTTCCTATTTTATGTTTTATGTTTGAGTATGTGCAGTTACGTTATGCTATACATTTGTAACACAGGTTACACCAAATACAGGAGATAGCTCCGCAGATGAATATGGTCCCATGAAGGATCAATGGCACAGCGCCACACCTAACTCTATAAACTCTATCACTTAGCTCAACACTACCTACTCGCCCTCCTACTCCCCTCCCCCCACCGATGCCCCCATGGTTAGGGGTTACTACTTCACCCAAGCCCATACTGAGTACATCCAAATTCCAAACTGACCATCACCCCACAAGAACCAAATTAATCCCTCAGTCCTTACACCTCTTACGACTCACACTGATGTAGGAACACTCACGCTTCCTCTGTGCTCCGACATACAGAGGGCTCAGGAACATAACACCCTATTGGGTCAAACAAATTATAGGTGAACACCTCTATAACACTGTGCCATCGTCAGCAATGTTAGCCCAACATTTTAGCCAAAAACCAATGTGAACAGGGTGAGATGTCTAGTTGTTACTCTATTCTATTTTATGTTTCCGATATATAGTCAAGCAATATCAGTGCCTAGGAAATGTAATCGCTTTAACAAAACCTCTTTCCATACCACCCCTATGCATGGTATATATTTTTTATTCAATGTAAGTCTGTTATCTAACCTATGCACTGCAAAACTGTGTGTTTATGTAATTAATTCCGTTTGGTTGTTACAAGGGGTTAAGTTTATCTTAGTTTAATGAAGTCCACATATGTGCAATTGATTGCTTGCTGAACAAAGATCGTGCGAAACCACGCCCCCCGGCCAATGAAGTGAGAAGGGGGTGGCACTATGGACTTAAAAGGATGACTAGAACTCCCTGACGTCGTCGGATGAAGCCTGTGGAGGCGGGCGAAACGCGTCACACGAACGTCATTGGAGGGCGGACCCGGGAGTGATCACGTGACCGGACTGCGATCAGGAAGCGTTTTGAATTATTTGTTTCATGCGTTTATGTGGGTGACTCTGCGAGCCAATACCCACCACATCCCAAGTAAGGGTTTTAACTTTTTTATGCAATAAATCAACTTGTGATACTATTCAATTGGAGGTCCTGCCCTTCTTTTTACACACAGCATAACAGAATCACCAGTGGATACATCTTCTGGAATACCCTGCAGTGTGGGGATATCCCCTCTCCCAAAGAGCCTTTTAAACCCAGAGCCAGGGGTGATAGGGCTCTGGGACATGTGAGTTTTTTTCCCTAAGAATTTTATTACGTACATTACCATTATCAGATGGTCTGCACTATTATTTGTCTTTTATGTTTACAGATTAATTTAGCGCGTTTTTTTGGTAAATATAAACCCCTCCCTGCTATGCAGGTAAAGGGGGGGATTGCTGTCTTCCTCCCTGGAAGCAGGTTGAAGAGAGGCTGTTCTCTCCAGTGAGAGAGTCAAGGAGATTGAGCACTGGGAGTGCAGAAGGAAAGCAGTCAATGCTGGTTTGGAGCACTGGGAGTGCAGAGAGGAAAGCAGTTAAGGCTGGCTTGGAGCACTGGGAGTGTAGAAAGGAAACCAACAGGCTGACTTAGCACTGGAGTGCAGAGAGCTGACAAAGACACTAGGTTGGTGAAACAAATATTGTTTTGTTAGTTTAACCCCTGAGAGATAGTGAACCTGATGTTAGTTAGTGCTCAGACGAGCTAGGTTTTTGTTTATAGGGATTTGTGTTATATTTATGTTTTCATTTGCTGTCGTCTCCTGTGTGGACTTCCAAATAAAGTGCCTGGATTATATGAAAATAAAAGGACTGTGCCTGTTGTTTACCCATGAGGACCGCGCTACCTGCAAACAAGGATCACAGCATAAATATATTTTTTAATATTAATGTTGTCACAGTCCTCAAGACTCCATTGCTTGTGGCATAAGGTATAAGGTATAGACAAACAACTGACATAAGTCAGATAAAAACAGTGTGGACGTGAAAAGGTTGCAAGAGACAAAACAATGTCTGCCATAGAAGATTCTTGTAAAATGAAGCATCAATGAATGTGAAAACTTCAAAACGGTAATGTGTGCAATGATAACCAAATGGTCACCTAATCCTATCAGGCACCCATTAACTGACCAAGGAATATGTCTGTGGCATGAGACCTTAAGAGAATTGTGACCCATTGCCAATACAGAAAAATGGACAAAGAGGTAACACAATACTTTCTGAAGGACTAAGTAAATTTCACGTGGAGTGAGAACATAAAAGGACTACAAACAGAAACTCATATAAGGGTTTGAAATCCTCTTGGATGACCTAAAAGTCCTTATAAGAATCCATGTAAGTGCTATTCTCAGTACTCAACATCCCACAAAGGGGGAATCAGTATCAGAAATGGACAAGACAAGGAAAGGTCTAGTTCACCTGCACTGTAATGCCAGGCAGGCAATTTGGAAAAGGTGAAATCCACACAGGCAGAAAAAGAAAGGGTAACCTCTTGGGTCAGAGACACCATTGCAGCAAGGGCATCCACTGGGACACATCATCAGAGATGGGAGGACCTCCATAGGGTCAATAACAAGTGTTACCAGGAGCAGACTGAGAAAAAGCAGAACCCTTAGCCAAACGCCCTGCACACATTAAGCATCGACAGAAAACATGAGCAGTGTGTCACATAGGACAGAAAAATGTAAGGTTAGAAGTAGTTCAAGGATATCCCTCATGTTAGCTTAGTCACTCTTATCATAGTATTGCCCAACAACCTATTTACAGAAGAATCCACAATTATAGGAGTTGAGGATCAAGAAGACAGGCTGATAATTGCAAAGCAGGCAAACAGACACGTTGGCAGCGGAGAGGTTAATGACACTGACAGGAGTGCAGGAGACACCGATACGGTGCAAAGACAGTGACACCTAGCAGTAGATGCTGCAGAGCTGACAGTGGTGTGAAGGGCCATGAGGAGTATGCAAAAATGCAAATAGGAGGCATGGCCACGCATGGAAATCAGCAGGATGCCATTGCAAATGTACAAATGGCCAAGAAATCACAAGCCATTAAAAAACAGCTGCTGTGGGCACAAACCGCATCAAATAAAGGCACCAAAAGCTTAGTAATCACATTACCTAGCAATATTAAACTGCAGGGAAGTTCCAAACGTAGCTGATCATAAAGCAGAGCCAGCAAATAATGGCCATAGGGAGCTGTCGCCAAAAAGCACATTCCTTTAAAGGGCCTGCACCCAAATACATCTTTCATAGTTGAGGGGCTTAGAGCTATCAGGGTGACATATACACTTCTATAATGGGTAGCTTGCCATTCCAGGGCTCCTTAGAAATACACAGAAGCGCAAATGCAACAAAAGACATGAGCCTCTGAACTGTGGGGGTGAATCTCCTCTACCAGACCATATGATATGACATCCTGTTAGGATAGGTGAACAGGAAAGCTGTCTGGCAGTGACATATTCACACTAGAAGTTAAATTATACAATGTACTGAGTATAGAATACAATATGCAGTGTGTTTACATTTTAATAAAGGCTATTTTAAAAGGTTTTTGGAATAAAATGGGGATTGAAAACTCCACTAACATCATGATGGACTTTCAAGATTCCACTAACAGGTAGAGAGTTTGACCTTTAACTGTCCTCAAGGTGAGTTAAGCACTGGCTAAGAGCCTTTTTGTGCATTGCTCATTTCTTTAGCACTAAAAGGGTCTATTTAATAGTATCCAGCACAGAATGTTTCAGATATATAGTACTAAAAGTGACAGTTTGATTTGTATTGCTATATTATATCTACTTTATCTCTCTGACAGTAAAGTAATATTTTTACCCGGTAGCCTCAGCAACATGTTAGAAAAGGCCACATCTAAGGTGGATTGGATGAAACTTGCAATTTTATTTGCAATGAAATGTTTCCACAAAGACGGGGAGACGAACAATTGTAACAAGCCAACATTTCCAAGCTTACTTGTTTTGGGTTAAGGGGTTGCCATAACATGTTTTCTAGTGTTGTATATCACTTCTGTTGATGGGCTATACATGAAATGTGATGCCCTGCTATGTGCTCAACGATTTCCTTCCTGCATCATTTAACTTCTACATACTTAGAGGACAATGTTCTCACATGTTGCCCAGGAATATGCATTATATGAATACAGGAAAATATGGCAACCCTAACCAATTATACAATG